ATAGGTTGCCCTTGCCCCCCCCCCCCCCCTAAAGTTTGATGGAGAATATTTTGTTGCTTTTTTATTGCCTCTTAGCGCAATGTCTTCTCCCCTTGTGCAGTTCTGATGTATTTTCTTTAATTTTTGTTCAAGATAAATTTTCCTTATAAAGTTATTGAAATTTGAAGGATTTAGTACCTTTAAAAACAACAATTGCCTCGGGGCAGCCAAGTAGTCATCTAATGGATCTAACCAATTATTAGTTAGCTGAGTTATTTTTATTTTTTTTAATAGTAAACAATTTCGTTGATCAAATGAAATGATACAAAAGAAATACCCATTCAAAGAGGTTACAAAAGACTTCTCCAATTTACAAGTTGAGAATCTAACCTGTAATTGCTAAAAGGAATTGTATTTTTATACCAGAAAAAAGTGTAGAAGATTGCAGTACTGCAAGTGTTCTGTGGAGTGTTTTCATGATCTTGAAAAATCCTCTAGTTTCTCTCTTTCCATATTCACCATATGAAAATTCCTCAAGTTTCTCTCTTTACATATTCACCATATGATAGACTTGATCAAGAAAGGCCAAAGGTTAGCTTTTGTGGACTTGAAAGGGTGGTCGTACAGGAGCAAATGAAACCAATTTTTGGCAAGAGCCGTAGGGACAATGCTTCATCCAAAGGTGGAAAGAGTCTCGTTCCAAAATTTCCTAGTGTAGGATCAATATACAAGGATATGGCTGAGAGATTCCCCTGATTCCTGGCAGAGACAACCAATTTGGAGAGAGAGAGAGATACCCATGGACTTCTTTTCTGTAGCCTGTTGAAAGTTTGAGGCTGGAGTGGCTGATTTCCCATAATAAAAACTTGATTTTCGTGGGCCAAGGGACTTTCCGAATCTTCCCGTATATCTCCTTGTCGTTTGTTGCATTCCTGGAAACGAGGCTGTTGAGTAATGATTGTGTAGAAAAGTTTCCCTCTCTATCAAGCTTCCAAGTCCATTTGTCTGGATAGTCAGTGAATTGATAGGAGGGGGTTTTATTAGAAAGGGCAGCCCATTCCTCTATTTCCTTTTCCTTAAGATGCCGACAAAAGTTCAATAACCATAAGCAATTTGTCAAGTCCCATGCTTCAGCTACATAAATGTTATTAGTTAGCCGAGTTTGATATTAACTGTTATGTCAAATCTCTAGTGTTCATATTTTAACATGTCAGGAAAAGGTCTACTTATTAGGCTATTAGCTACCATGCTCCACTTCCTTTCTTTACCATCGGATTGAATGAATATTTACTTTTTCATTCAATCTTTATGCAGGGTAGTGGTTCTGCAGCTCAGGGTGAAATTTCATTCTTATCGTGGAATAGCAAAGTTCAACATATATTAGCCTCCACTTCATATAATGGAACAACAGGTGAGGAACGAAATCCTGTTTCATTTTTCGGGCTTTTCTTTCTGTAGGCACTATGTTTTTTTTTTTTTATGAAAGTTCAGTTTCTTGATTGAATAAAACTTGTAACTATTATTATTTTTAATTTGATTTTTTTTTTCAAGAAACAGATTTAATTGAGAATGAAATTACAAAAAGAGTGGGAAGGAAAGCCTCAATATTGAGACCAAAGGAAGCTACATAAAAGCTCTTTCAATTGACATATATCGCAAACTGATTTCTTGTTTAAAAGATAAAAATTAAAAGAAAAATGACGCATATGGAAAAAATAGCTTATTTAATTACAAGGGGCCAGGGGAGGGAAGAGGTCTACAACAAGAGCCACTAGAAAATATCATATTCTCAAAGAGAGAATCAAAATATTGGATTTTCTCCCTAACATTTTGCTTATAACTCTTCTTGATTCAGTCGTTTGGGACCTGAAGAAGCAAAAACCAGTTATAAGGTAAATCTAAGTGAATTATTAAATTAAAGACTTAAATGATGAAATTGGATGAATTCCAAAATTTCTGGGTTGCATTTGATAAATGTATGTTGCCTGTCAATTCAGTTTTTCAGATTCCACTAGAAGACGCTGCTCGGTGCTGCAATGGAATCCTGATCTTGCAACCCAACTCGTGGT